GAAGAAACAACAGATGGGATTCTTTTTGCATCCTGTTAATGTTGAAATAATAACAAAATTAACATTTTTCACTAAACTCAAAGGTAATTTGTTGCAACTGGTTACACTCCTGTATTTAATCACGATGTTAAAAATGTACCGCTAGAGGACTGGACATCTTCTCCAGAGACTGCAATATGCGCCGTGCTGTTGAGCTGGTCACACCGTACGACTGCGCACTCAGCTGCTTCGCTTTCATCTGCCTTCTGACCGGTGCCTGGAAAGTAAAACCTAGGTTATTATTTTGGAATGTAAAACCTAAAGCACATTATTTCATGCAATGAGAAATTTACCAAACAGAATGGATATCCAAAGTTAACAGTAATTCATCTCTGGGTGGTGCCATAAAGAGTTGAAGTTTATTTTTTTTCTTTATGGCTTTCTTGAAAATACAATTCCCTACCTGAGAAATTATAATTCTTATAACCAGAAAAAAGTGGTAAGATAGCATGTACCACTCTAAGAAAGATCTGCCAGCTATGTTAAATGGGAAAAACAAGGTATTGGTAAAAAGTTCTAGTATTACCTTAATCCATTTACCCTAATACTTAAATGAAAGAAAATTAATGAGAACTGCATTAAAATAGTTATTTATCATAGGTATGATATAGTTTTAATTTAGCAAATACCAAAATAGCTAAACAAAAATACTGTAGCTAAAAAAAGGACTGCAACGGAAATTTAAAAATTTTACTACTACTCATTGCTTGCTTCTCAAAATTTTATATAACAAAAAAAATTTTTTAAATACTCAGGCTATTTCTTAATAAATGATGTTTTAACTTTCTTAAAATTGAGGTCGGGGGAAAAAACCTTAAAAAGAACAGGTAGGTACCCATTAACACAAGGCAATGTTTACAAATATCAATAAAATACTTCCTTTTCTCAAGAATGCACTATAGTCATCCCACAGTATCCATGGCAGATTGGCTCCAGGACCCGCCCCTCCATACCAAAATCCAAGGATGTTCAAGTCCCTTATGTAAACTGCTGTAGTATTTGCAAATATCCCACGCACATCCTCCTGTATACTTTAAACCATCTCTAGATGACTCAGACTACCTACTACAATGTAAATCCTATGTAAACAGTTGTTACACTGTATTGCTTAGGGAATAATGACAAGACGTGAGGCAAACAATGCCCAAACAGTGAGCGCTGGAGAAAGACTGAGGAGCTGTGATATGGCAGGAGGCTACAGCAGAGGACGCTACACACCACTTCATTCGCGAGGACTGTCGTAGTGCTTCGTGTGTGGCAAGTTCAAGTTATGCTTTTCGGAATTTTCTCGCCTTTTTTTTATTTCTGCATATTTTCAATCCACAATTGGTTGACTCCGCAGATGCGGAACCCTCAGATATGGAGGGTCAACTGTATAACATTCTAACAATCAAGTGGCTACCACAAAACAGTAGTTTGGCTGAACCACTTCTCTATCTAGCAATGATCAATATAAAAATAGATATCCTAGGGGGACTTCATAACATCAAGAAAGCAGTGCCAGGAGCAGAGCGCGTCCTTTGGACCGGGGTCCCT